TACACAAATGCGTGAAAAAATAATCCTTCAGCACGCTCCTAAAGTCTAAAACCCAGGTTGTTCCCCTCGAAAAAACATAATAAAAACCGCGAGCACACTGCTGAAGTTTTCCGGAGGGAAATAAGCCTTTCTTTTTTTCTTTCCTCTGTCTGTGGGTAACTGACGGCTCCTACTCCATCTCGGTCTTTAATCACCATCAGCCCCGTTCTCGGCACACTTTAGGCGACTGCAGCACTGTATAATAATATCATATCAATAAAAGTGTTATTGTTTTTCGTTCACAGTGCACAGTTCGTCGTTTTTGTGGCATGTACTGCTCGATTTTTTCCGAATTTAATCCCAAAACCATATTATTATATCATATAATACCGATAAAGCTGATGTACAAGATCATATTATTATAATAATTATATGGTATCCTATATAATCTATGTAAAAATTCACTAGACACTTTATAAAAACTCTGAATAATGAATATTTGGATTTTGTTACTTAATATTTTTTAGATTAAATATAATATAAAACACCTGCCATAATAGTTTTTAATAATTTAAAATGTAGAACCTATTAAATTAACTTTTTCCTATATAATTGTTTAGGTAATGCATACCAATACTTAAAACTATTATATGTATATGATTTTGTAATCGTATTCAACAATTATAATTCTATAATAATAATAATAACAAATACAATGTTTTATACACGCCTGCTTTTTGATAATATTAATAATAATTGTTTAATTAACATACTGTATTTTATGACAATCTAGTAAGTATGCAAAAATAAAATGTGTACCTACCTACAAAAAAAAAAAATAATATCCCATGTTGGTAGAGTTAATGCAACACCTTTTAATTTTGTAAATACACATAAGTCTAATTAAAGTTCAAAAAAGACGGCATTCAAACACATGTTGCAGTTAAACGCATTAATTCATTACTAACGAATCGTAGATTTTATCCAAATCATACACCAAAAGTATACAAGTCTATTTTTTATTTGGAAGGTTTTGATTTATACTGACAAGTAAAAATATTAATGTTTCTTTCTTTTAAAATAAACGAGATAAATCAAATTTATGTTCAAATTATACAAATTTTAATTGGTAAATATTTTTACATAATTTTTACGAATCAAATTAATGAAAATAGACTAAAAATGACATTTTAAACAAATATTTCACTTTTAAAGTTAAAATAAATCCACTAAGTAGATTACCTTAACTAAATAAAAAAAAATTGAATTCCCTAAACATTATCAAAGAACATAATCTATACAACTCAATTATGTATCTACTTTTGTATAGTTATTCATTTAAATTATAATACTTTATAATATTAGTTATAACTTATAAGTGTTAAGTTAAGGTATAACTTATATTTAATGTTGAATGTTGTACTTTATTATTAAAAAAAAATGGCTTACCTGCATCAACATGCAATTGATTCCCTATTTAATTCATAAGCGTACACCTACTACATTCTGAAAATATATAGAATATAAATTAATTATTAAAAATATTATGATCATGAAGAAATATTGTAGGTATCTATTATAATAGTTAAATTATTAAAAAATGCAATTTCCTGTTACATTAAAATTTATTTTAGCATTGAATTAAAATAATTAAATTGATCAATAGAATATTCAGCTCAGTAAATTATGTCTGTAATTAAAAATATCTGAGATACTCAAATATATATTATTAGAAAGCTTTTTATGAACTTAAAAATATAATATTTGAAGGTTAAACACGTGTGTACCTATATAGGTATTCAAAGAAATACATTTTTATCCATTTAATCAGCTGAAAAATTACAAAAACCCATAATTTTTGTGATTTGTTATGCTCGTGAAATATTTTAAAGGTTTATTTGTTTTTATGTGTTAAAAAGTGTATAATAGATTTTAGCGTTTCGGTCACTCCCCAATTTCTGCCCACTCGGAACGCCTTTATTAATTTTTGTTTCAATTACAGGCCGCGGAGTCATCCAGTCGGGACTCAGGATTCAATTACCCTATGGAATTTGTAATACATACAACATGTATAATATAATATAATATATTAACAAGTGTTTCACGTGTTCTGTCCGCATAACTTCCAGGGCCGACAATGAAAAAAACTACTTATTTGTGTTTTTAACGAGCAAATATCATGTTCGAAAACAGTAGACACGATCGGACGCGATTCGGTCAAAACAACAGTATCGTAATATTTGTTCAGTGGTTCTCAAACATTCGATGGAAACTATTGAAAATTCAAAGTGGACTAAAAATTATATTTCGTGCATAAAAATACAAATTTTCAAATATATATTTTAGAACGATTTGTAAAAATGTCTAATTAAGTAATTTGTTTTACAGTGGCAAACAGATAATCTGACAACATTATAGTAATGACATCATAAAAACATATTATTATTTACGTTTCACACGACTATATTATTATATCTTACCTACCAGATGTATAGCAGGGATGAAAAAAGAAACTTTATCTCACTTTTATATTCATAAAATATCAGCACATTTATTCTTACTAGATATAACATATTCAATTCAATATTTGTCTTTTATTGGTTTTTTTTTAGTCTGGTTTATTATTTATAATAATATGTTAAACTAAAATACTATAACATATAGATGTATATCCACTTTTGATTTTTGAACATAGCATTTGGTTTTAAATTAAAAATGTATTATTATTATTATTATTACAACGAATTTATTTTAGTAAATTTAAAAAAAAACCAATATAAAATGTGTGTAGGTATATTTAGTATGCACAATGCCCATGAGTACAAGACACTATAGACTATCCTAGATACACGTGTCACTAAAGTGTTAATGTTTATTATAATGATATCAAACTCACTACTTACCAATACTTAATGAATATAATTTATCTAAGTTTGTTCGCATAATTTAGTAAGTTGATTACTGATTAGTTCAGAATTAAAATAAATTAAAATCACATTAATGAAAGGTTCGTGAATGGCAAATAGAAAATAAAACACTGCAGCTTATAATATTATGTACAAGTATTGTGATTTTATATTCCTTATACTTTGAATAGTGTTCAATAAAAACCACAAAATAATCAAAGTTTTGGAACTCCTGACCAACGGTCATTGACGTAAGGGTCGGCTTTAACGATATGTAGGTACTTACCTTTAACCCGAAAGAGAATTGGTATATTGAATCGTAGGGTAGCAAAATAAAAATAAAAATAGGGGGTTACGATAACCGCCGATGAAGATAAGCTCGCAGTTAATTTATACGAATTTCGCATGTAAGGTCACGTGATCGAAGCGAAAGACATGAAAAATATTACGAAACGATATATTTCATGCACGGTTGTTCCACCGAATACGTTTTGCATATAAATAGGCCGGAAAATGATCGTCGAATTCAAATTTTTACATTTCTGACGTGAACCCGCCCCCTCGCCCATATAAGTAGAACACAAGTGTCTTGTATTACAATACACGGTCATTGTCTGAAAGTTTTTTTTTGGAAAACACGAGAAAATGTATCGCCATCAGCGGCGGAACGCTTCCGGTTTTATTCATGTGTACTATACAAAACGCGGTGGTATTCAAGACAAACGACATTAGCATTATGTGTTTGTAAGCTTTGACATTTCTTTTCTCGTGTCTCCGGTTTTTCCTACCCTTCTCTTCGGGCGCACACGTGTGTGTGTGTGTGTGTATTTTTTTTTATTTTATTGTAGAAAAACGTTTTCCCGCTTTCTCTTTGACAGGACGAAACATTTGATGGATATCAAATCCTGTAAGGAACGAGACTATGACGTCTGGTCGTATATACAAGTAAGTATGCATTACGCATATATATGTACTATACAGCATACGTAACGATTACTAACCCCCTCACTATAATTTTGTTTCCGCCTCGTTTTCTCATAGCGTTACGATTTTGACGTGGTTTCTTTTTCAGTTGTATAATAATATACAAAAATATATTATGTATGTATAAACATAATATATAGGTTTATTTACACATAGGAATAACTTCAATATAGGACCCCTTTGCGTCATACCTGGTAAATCGTTTCTATAATACACCTATATGGGATAAAAAAAAAATATCGGTCTTATATTCGTATATTGTACCCACAGTAAAACTTAAAAGTTCATTAATATACCCGTAAAGAAAGTATAAGTGTATAACAGTGACTATTTGACATGGAATTCTATTTTGTCACAACAATAGTACTGCAGTTTTAGTTTTATTACCTATATATAATAATATAATATACTTTATATCAGGGGTTATCAAATGGCGATTCACCGCCGCGCGCCGGCCCGTGGACGAACCTTCTTTGGCCACCAGACAATACATATTTTATTTTGTAAATATATTTAAATATATTTATATTTATAATATAAATATAAATATAACTTATAATATAATATGTAAATATATTTGTATTTTTATTTGATGGTGAATTAAATGAGGTTTTCATTAATTTTAGTTTTATCTTTTGAATTTGCCTTTACTTACTTGGATAAATATATATATTACATTTTTATGGCTCCCGAAAACTCCCTCAATTCCTAAAGTGCCCCTCCAAAAGTATTTATTGGTGATCCCTACAATATATTATTTTTTTTATTTATCATACAAATTTAAATAACGCAATTAATTTCCTTTTATATAATAAAAATAACAATATTATATTATATTATATTTATTATATTCCACCCAAATCCAAACATTTTAATTTTATTAATCTGTGGTTAGAAATTATCTTTATAGATAATATTGTAATACGATGGACGATAGGTAAGTACTTAAAAAACAGGGCCGGCGTTAGGGGGGGGGGGGCAAAGCGGGACATTTGTCCAGGGCCTCGCGCATTCAAGGGCCTCGCGCTCAAAATTTACATAGGAAAATATTTTATATGAAAATCTTGTACCAAAACAAAACAACAATATAATATTATAATATTAAATATTTATGCGTCAACGTCGATCGGTATGGCACGTCGAACGGTATGGAAACCCCGGATTCCTAGACAGTTAATCGCATTATTAAATTTAATCAATCATTACCCGATATTGCGAGCTGCTGTCAAATCATTTAGTGAACGATTTAATCAATTTAAAATGTATAGTGACAATTTCGGTTTTCTATACAATATTGGTGAGCTCCAAAAAATAACTAATGACGACCTTATGAAGAGTTGCTTAGATTTACAAAATTATCTAAGTGACGGAGAATTATGTGATATAGTTGCTTCTGAATTGTATGAAGAGTTACTAGTTTTTCGTCATACAATGAAAGAAGATTCTACGCCAATAGAAGCACTCAAGCACTCAGTTTTTAAAACAATTCCTGGTGCTTTTACATTTTTCCTAACATAGTAATTTCACTCCGAATTTTGTTAACCATACCAATCACCTCAGCGTCAGCAGAAAGGAGTTTCTCAAAGCTCAAAATAATCAAAAATTACCTAAGAAACACAATTTCTCAAAAACGATTGACTGAATTGCAATTGAAAATGAAACAGCAAATACATTGAATTTTATGGACGTCATAGAGTTGTTTGCGTCCAAAAACTAAAGAAAAAAATTTTAAATATTCTATATTAATTTTGTTTTTTATTGCTTAAATTTCTAATGTTTAAATGAATTATTTTATATTAAATTTAGTACATACAATTACAGAACCTTTGTACATTTGTATACCTTAGTGGCTTAGTATATATTTTGTAAGTTATTTATATGTTTGTAAGTTGACAAGTGTAATACGTTTAAAAGTAATCATTAAAAAGTTGAAAACTAATATTTACTAATGTATTTTTATTTCAATAAACATCATAGGTGTAACTAGGGTCAATATTTTGGGAGGGCTTAAGTCCTTAATGATTTAAAATTGTTTTATTTGGGACCCACATTTTTTTATGATTTTTTGCCTTTTACATCTATGTTCTATGCGATATGGATATTGGTTAAATAAGTTTTGCCCAGGGCCTCGCAAAAGGTAGCGCCGGCCCTGTTAAAAAATATGTTATGCGAAATTATTATTATTGGTTATTTTAGGCAATCAATTTAAAATATTATAAATAGTAATGGATAACAATATTATTATATTTCTCGAAGGTATAGTACCTCTTACATTTAGGTGGATATATACTAAATATAGGTACTAATATCATAACGAATACCTAAATATATTTATTGTAAATACTCACATTAATTTATTATTTCTAGTCAAATGTATTTCATATATTATAGCAAATTGTTATCAACACCGTGAACGTTCACACGATTTCCGTCTAAGCGATTTGAGCTTTAAAGGTGCATGTAGTTGCCGCTATGAACAAACAGTACCTACACAAGTTACACTCGATTTAGAGCCAAATATAAGTGGTGTGTTGTAGGTATAATTATACATTGACCCATTATCACCTCACGCGGAGTGTTATGAAATCATCCGAATCGATTGATAAAGTTTAGAGAACCCCAAAACACAATTATATAATATTATATACCTATATACAATATATAGTATAATATATTATATACATGCACAATCGGTATATTATTTCGGATGGAAGGTTCTTCCACAGTGCGCATTTGATCACATCAAGGCCATAAATTGTCAATGTTTACCCGTTCAACAACCCCCTCTCATCCACCAATCACCGCCCTATATCTATTTTGGACAAGGTAGTTGGCGGCAAAAACGTCCGATAGCTATTAAACCGGGTACGCTACCTATATACTTTTGACAATCCCCGTGCGTGTTACGTATACCCATAGGTACTGTCTAAAATATTATATAGGTACCATGTAGAGGAAGTGGGGTGAATGTTTGAATACAAAACTTGGCCCAAGTGTGCGTTTAAGAGCCCTTTTCTCCATTAAACCCGCACACATCGATGTCTCCACACCTGTGCGTAAATCACCTCCCAAGTCTAGAGACTTAACCTGTTAAAGACGCTCCTTCATGTCCACCCCACAACCCCAAGTATATAGTATATATTATTATTATGTTATATACATAGCTTGAGCGTCTTAATTATAAACACGCGTTTTCAGTTTATGACTCTTTGTCTACTATAATATTATAATTTATATTCAATATCACGTTTAAGAAAACTAACTACATATAAATAAAGATAATAATTATTTAATTACTTATATGCAAACGACTTTGATCAATATTATTGAATGATAAATGATAATAATATTATAACAAATCGTATAGTGAATATCTTATAATGTTTTATTTTTGTATTTCATTTTTTTGTTATTGGGCTTATACGAACAGTTTTAAATCAAAGTGGAAAATATAAGGATTGGTAAACATTTGTTTTCTGGCATGCATTTCCAGACAGTTATTACATTAATAATTTTGACAGTCATTGCATTAATCATCAATTTACACATCGAAGAAACCAATAATACTTAATTCATATTACATGTTATTATTGTACCTATACATTATAATATAAACATATTCATATATTTAAATAATAAGATACTTGAATTGAAATAATTTTATGACTATATAAGTATGTAACTAATAGACATTTCAACATTTGTATGCTAAACGCTTAAACCCGGTATTAAAAAGTATTAAAAAATAATTTAAATTGTTGAAATATATGATAAGCCAGCATAAACTTTAATTAATTTATTGAAAATATTGTAATAATTTTAATAAAATGCTAAATTATATAAATTATTCAAAAAGATCATTCAATAGTTGTTATTAAAATAATATTATAAATTACAAAAATATTTCAAAATTAAATATTATTGTATAATACCTACTTATATTAATGTAGTAGTGTAATAATAATTAATAACCTATGATCTATACATAGTAATTACATATGCATCTAAGGGCTTAAGCTATAATATTTATCTATAGTACATAAGGACCTAAAAATATAAAAAAATTATAATATGAAATAAAAATAATTACTAAATAGTAGATTTTCTTACTTTTATACATAGGTATACTTTTTGTAACTGTAACAATTTTTTTATACGTATTTTTTTTCTCTATTTTCATTATAATTTTAAATAATAATAAAATTACACAAAGTATATACAGGGTGGGGCACTGAAACGGCCGATTTTAAAAATAGATTTTCATTGAAAATCGGCCGTTTCAGTGCCCCACCTTGTATATATATTATATTTAAGAAAATATTAAGTTAAAGAATGATTTATAATCAATTCGTTTAATATATGTATAATTTTTATAAGAATAGAAATATTTAAGGCGGCTCTAAACGATTGGATTTTTCATGCATTTAGACCAATAAGCTGGCGAAAAATACACATACTTCTAGTAGTCCAATTTCAATTTTGAATACTTATTTGGATTCGTTAGCCTCTTTTCTATGATCTGTAGGAAAAACTTTTTCATCTTTTTGTCTAGTTAGCACTTAAAAGTGCAAGTTAAATTTGAGAAATCAAGCAGTCATTTGGAACCGTAATATACGTAAATTATCTAAAATATCCAAAATCGGTTTCCTACAAATCATAGAAAAGAGGCTGACGAATTCAAATAATTTTTCAAAATTGAAATTGGACTACTAGAAGTATGTGTATATTTCGCCAGCTTATTAGCATTTTTCACTGTTGTGAGTGTACAAAAATATTTTTCGAGAGTGATTACGTTGACTTGTGCATGCGCGTACGTGTGCTATTGAACCGTGTGCCCGCAGCCGGGCGATATAAAATCTATTGTTATCGAGTTCGAATTTCTTCGAATTTCACACTAATAATCATTTACGACTAACACATAGATTACGGGCGGCGACGACAAGATTAGAAATTGCCTAAATTGTTCCCCTTAAATAATAGCCACTAAGAGCCGCCTTAATAATTTATTTAAAAACAAGTTACATTATTTCAACTGTAGTATCTACCGTCCTACCTATGTTAGAAATTATTATATCATGTACCAAACACTCAATATTCTTAAGATTGACAAAAGTTTAAAATTGTAAGTAGTAAAATAATTCGTAAATATATGTGTTTATTGTTTATCTAATCAGTATTTATTTAAGGGGGAGGTTTTCAAGTTCAACAATTTGAGGACATTTACTATATTCATAATATTTTCTTGAACTTATATTACACAAAATAAAATAAAATACCTGTTAATGATTCATTTTTTTTCAATAATATTTAATATCACTATTTATATAAAGTAGGTAGGTCGTAGGTATGTGATATAATAGTTTTAGATTATATAATAATTGGATGGTGTGTTATTATAGCTGCGGTGTATTAGGTAATAATTGCAGTGATTGTTAGTTATTTTTCAGCTTTTCATTGGGTCTCATAAATGTATTATTCCGCATAATCCACACCCCCTGCTTACAAAAACATACCACACCGTGTACCATACATGAACAAATATCGGTAATATTTTATCAATCTTTACAAAATATACATTAATGATTAATACCCACATTAAAAATGTATACCGTGTAACTTTGGTATTGTTGGAATACTTTATACACTCGTTGAATACGATATGATGTGTGTATAATTTCAAAATATCCAAAGCGTATTTTTGGTTTAACGTCTGCAGGAGACCATGATAAACTCGTAGAGCATTCAATCTTCCAAATTGTCCAATTTACGGGAAACGAATTACGTACATATATACAAGCTACCTATACGGCGTGTATATAGTACGCGAACAAAAAGTTGGCAAACACTGCGGCAATCGTCTTTATAAAGGATAACCACGTGTCCTTATTGAAACAACGCGCTATACAGAAGCGAATCCCAGGAGAAGAAATAAAAAAAACACGTGCACACACATCCAGGATAAGTCGTTAAAGAAGGGAAAATAATGATATATATATGTACTCATGTATACATATTGCACGTATATATGTCTGCTATACGGCAGCTAGTATTAATAATTTAACAACACTTTGATCGTTGTTCAATACATGTATAAGGCTTATGGGAAGTATTTTTTTTCAATTTCGTTCCTCTAGTCTATTATCTTCGAAACAATTTTTTCGTCGCCTTAATAATTCAAAATATTTTATGCTCCACTCCACCCCCACCCCCTCCTCTTCCTCCGACTGGGCGCTGTGCAAACATAATATTTTGTACTTGCAGCAGTTGCAACAGGGCACCGAAGGGCTACAACAGCGGCGATACACACCCCGGGCGCCATTCATCACATAATAGCTTCAGCTCGATTAAAATTTCACTACGTACTAAATCGGTTTCTTGTTTACATTCCGCGCTCTCTCTCTCTCTCTCTATATATATATATAGATATTTTATTATATACGAGTACCTATATCGTATATAGATACACATATATGAACAAACACACACGAGTACAGACACGCTCATTCGTCCTTATATATATATAATATATATAATATAGACCCTTATTAATTTAATGAACTGTCCGGTGAGTATGGGATAAATTTAAAAAAAAATTCCCGCTGTTTTCTATATATTATATATAATTTAAGCCGGACTTACCACTTTTGTAACTGTGTGTTATGTCATATATTATATAATATAAGATCGTTGTGCAGTGTAATGAGCTCGTGTACCCGCCTATTCCGTATAGGCCAAACTCTCCCTCGACCATATAGTTATATAGTTCTTAATTATCGGACTGGAGGGGTGTGTCTGTGTTTTCCGAGTATACGTGACCAGAATTTCACCTGCCACACATCCCTTTTATAATCTGTTTACAGACACCAGTAGAAGAAACAAAATCGGTGGTCCGGAACAAGGACAATAACAACCATTTAACTGATCGTCACACGCATTCTTAACAACCCCGAACTTTCTGCAAGTAAAATAAAATTCAATTACGAGTTCTAAAATTTTTTTTTTTTGGAATTTATAATACACTGACTTTCAAGTCAACACCGCAGTAAGGTATACAATATAACATAATATCATTAAAATATGGCATGGTTTGTCACTTTTATGAGTTTCACGAAAAGGAGCTTGTTTGTATTACTAACATTATAATACAATGCATTATTATGTTAAAATATCGAAAGCAGTGTACCCACGTCCCACACGCAACTATTTCGTGCACTAAAAACCTTCCATTGGTTTTATGAAGTCTCATATGCAGCACATAGATAAATATTTTACTTGCCGAGAATAACGTTACTCATTTGGGACCAACATATACTTTTCGTGAAACTTTGGTAAAATATACACCAAAAGGTATTATTATAGACCCTTGAGTTATATATAAGTACTTTAACTGTTAAATTGTAATTAAAATTAATGCTCAAACTAACAACAAATTTCAGGATAAAATATTTTTGGCTTAGGTAACCATACTGCTTACATTAATGCGAATTTGAACTCATAGTGAAAAAACGGTTCCTAAAGTTAACAATAAAATAATTCAATGTTTTATGAATAATTATTATTGACTGAAAACATAGTTAATAGTCAATATATGTCAAATAATATACCTAATACCTATTGCCTATAGTGTATAAATAATATCTATAAACAAACATAATAATATAATGTGGTAGGAAAATTATTAGGAAACTCGAGTAATGAGTCCTTCGATATCTGAATATTTGGGATGATAAAAAACATTTGTTCCACTCATTATATAAGAAATGTACATTTTATAATCTTGACGCGTGTTGTTGTACGACGTTCACGAGTGTGAGTCTTAGAAAAACGTGTTTAGGTACTTACTGCGTCTTGTACTACTGCCGTCCCTTTACTCCGCGCCCTTCATAGGTTTGATCTAACCGTTTTTTAGTCGTCGACCGCGAGTGTCACGAAATTCCAAAGGAATGTGTCTTCCTAGGTACGCACTTATTATCATTGTCCATTGATACATAGCTAGGTAGTAGAATTTTTGCAACTGTATATTGTATTTATTACGAGTCTATACCTACATTTTTGCAAAGACTGTCCTTGTTTCCCAGTGCTTGAATTGGATTAATAAATAAAAGGAGATGCAAAAATTTTAAAATAATTTGATTACCCAAAGATTTAAATGTATTATTGATTAGGATTTAATTAGAAAGTGAATTGCAGTGTGTCATTTTTTAGAACAATCTATAAATACAAATTATTATTGTGCATTATTGTCCCTTCGTTTATAATTTTGTATTTTAAAATAATAAAGTAGTTAATATTAAACGAGGGTAGATAGATTTGTATAATACAAGTTAAATCGAATACAAAAAAGTCGCTCTGTTGTACAGTAGATTACAAGTGGATCACTGTATAATGGATGGTATTAAATTTGAAACAATGATATATATCATTGTATAAGAAAAACGATTTTGAGCGGAGACGGTATGTCAGTCTAGGAATAAGACATATTATAATAATATACTTATCTATGGTATTAAAAAAAAAAACCTATAGTAGGTAGGTACCTATAATAAATTCCAAATTAATCATATCACCATATCCATTAGGTACTTATAACTCGTTATACATCAATAATAAACCGTGATACTATCATAGATATATAGTTGTATACTTTAGAAGTTTCAAGTACCCACGAATAATATTATACAATCACAACAAAATAACTTAAATAGTTATTCTAGGTTTTTTAATATGTAATTTCGTCCAAATTTGAACTTAAAATGACTATAAAAATAAACTGTGCTTATGTATTTTTTAGATTTTTTGGTAACAGAATTAACTAATTACTTGGAATATTGTTTTAAATTTTCAATCCTTAGTTGAAACGTTGAACATTTAATAAATTTTAACCTACAAAATAATTATTCAATTTTAAATTTTATACATTTTGTCAAAATTCAATCTTTAAATTTTTATAAAAAAAATTGTGAACATGTATTTTTAATATTTTTCAACTGCTTTTGTAACAATATATCAGGAGCCTTGTGTTAAATTTGTACTCTTTTTGGCTCAACAGATAAAACTTTATTGATATTTATGGAAAAAAAACTAAAAAAATTTAAAACTGAAAATGTCCGTAAACAGCTCAAAAAGAGTCAAAATATTTGAGGAAATGCTAATATAAACATTCAGTAAAATTTTCATGTATCTACAGTTATTAGTTTTTTTATTACAACAAAATAAGAAAATCGCTACATGAGAAATCGAGTGAATATCCATCGTTGTAAAAATTTGAATTTAAAACGCTCATAAAAATTTAGTTTGACTTTCTTAAGGACATTTTTTTTTTTTGATAAAAGTAGACAAACTTATAAGGAATCTTGTATTACATTTTCATATCTTAGAATTAAAAAGTTAAATTTTTATGAATTCTTAACTCAAAATAATTTGCTAATTTTCATGATTTGTTCATATTTTGTCAATTTTCAAACATTAAATGCTTATAAAAAAAAACTGTGACTAAGGATTTTTAATATTTTTCATCTGCCTTTGAAACAATATACTAGGAGCCTTCAATTAAATGTTCAAACATTTTTAGCCAACAAATAAAATTTAAAATACTATTATAATATTTAAAATAAAAACACACATCAATGTAAAATCAATACATTCATCGTTCCACTCAGAATCTAAAAATGGAAACTGAAAATGTCAGTAAAGAGCTCAAAATATTTGGAAAATTGTATGGTGTATAGAAAATGCTAATATGAACATCCAGTCATAATGTCATGTACCTATTTGTTTAAGAGTTGCACCAAAAACCAAAATCGATTTTTTCGAAAACAGATTTTGTGTAAAAATTCCCGTTTTTCTTTAATTTGTCTTCTGTTTTTCACTTTACTTTTGATCCCCCAAAGTACCAACTAGATTCACTTTCCTATCAGAAAATATACTGTTGAAGAAAATCCAAGCACTTTTACTGTCCTAAAGAGTGATGACGACACAAAAAAAAATTTAAAAAAAAAACACATATCATTGTAAAATCAATGCATTCATCGTTCCACTCAGAATCTAAAAATGTATAATATTATGTACCTACCTATTATGTGTACATGTAAAAAATAATTATTATGAGATCCTTACAGGTAGAGCATGTTTAAAAGAAGACATGCCCTGCAGTAAGTGCAATAATAAAAACTAATTTTCTACAATATTTTTCTTAATGAATTAAATATAATAGGAAAAACAAATTCAACAACGAATAATAAACTGTTGTTTAATAAATTGCAATAATTTATAGGCTAAAAATTATACTTTAAAACAATCAATAGTTAACTTTGAATAGAAGTGATTAAATTGAAATCAATTCAATGTTCAGTATGTAGGTATATAGTAAAATTAAGACTTTTATCATTTTAAGGATTAAATACAAAGTATATTAAATTATATTAAAATATTCAATATAGCTGGTGTATAAATATATTTTTTAAAAAAGTAATAATTATAAACTCAAATGATTATTCAGTGCACATACAAAAGTGTGTGATTAGTTTTCACCCACTCCGAACGTAATTCAACCTTGAAATTTCGCGCGGTTTTTTAACGAAAGTTTGTGCTGGCCTGTATGGCTGCACTGGAATAGCTTATCACTATTGCACAGCCACGGCCTGTCCATTTTTTCTTGTGATTATATTCACGTGTGATAACAGATAAACAACGTTATTTTTTTTTTAGGTGATAACAATTCTAAAATCGTGTTTTTCCGTTTACGTTTTTTGAATGCTGTAACCATTTTATCGTAAAATTTGTTTTTTCTCCTATACGTTCTGATTCGCACCCTCGAAATGCCTTCTATTACAGACATGCTGAACTTGAACAAACTAGAAATGTTCCAGACAATGAGGAAGATATTAGAAACTGATGGCGCAAACACCGTCCGAAATCTTATAGCGTACAAAGACCAAATATTGTATATTTGGAATCCTGACGAATGCTGTTTGTACTCGCTACTGTTGAACACAGTTCACGAAGAACAACCTTCATACCAAGTAAGAAATTTGTATTAATAACTTTGTTTCATTTATCCGAGCATATATCCTATTGTGTTGTATGTAACCTTTTATGTTCCCTAAATAGTAGTATGTTTGTTATTACAAATGAACGGACATTCAACTTTTCTTATTTCCCATTACATCATGCTTCATAAATACTTTTTTTACTACATGTCAAAATTATTCACCTAAAACGGGTATAGACTTATAGTTCAACTATCGTAGTACGATTTTAAACACTTCCTAGGTATCATCCAACATATTAATATACATACCTTTATGATGTCTACTATCAATGCATTTTGTTAGATGTTTCTAAATGTGCTTGACAGCAATAATAATAACATCACAACATATTATGAATTAAAAAAATAGGTATATGGTAATCGGCCTTCTTTGACCAATGTACCTACACAACAACAAAGTAGGTACGAATATGAAACTTGCATACCTGCTTTATGATATTCGGTTGTTTGCCTTAAACTATGACATTTAAGTATTGTATTGTTTTCCTAAGTATATCATTGTGCTAGTTTTCTTATAAGCCATTAGGTCACTTATCAATAACAGGTACCTATATAGGTATTTGAACTTTGAAGCATTTTATTTCTATAATCTAAATTATCTTGAGTATGTTTTAAATATGGGATAGTGGATGTGATTAAAAATGCTTACATAACGTTAAAAATATTTCTTATCATTGAACAAAATCAATATAATCTAAATAATAGGTAGACGGTACTTAGTTACATAATATTTTATGTCTAAATAATTAACTTTTTATTATTAGTCTGTCTAATAGATAATAATCTTTTATAGTTTGTTTTGTTACACAGTTCATTAATTATACTAAATTGTCATTATGTGTTGATTTAGAAATGTAATACTTACCTAAATTATAAAATATAATGTAGATAACACAAGTGAGTAGGTATAGTAAATAGTAAATACAATACAATAAAACTTTATTTCTTATAGTTAATTTACTTATTAGTATTAGCCATACAAATTCTACATTCCAATGTATAATAAATGCTTTTGTACTATCATAGATTAATAATAAATTGTAGGAATATTATAAAACCAATGTTATAATCGAGGTTATAATTATTGCTATCGAATTTTATACCTGTACGTCAGGAGTTATCAATCTGTGTGTCGCGGCTCCCACAGGCGTTGCTAGTTATTACCAAGGAAGCCACGACGGCATTAGAATATGTAACAACAATTTGTTTTTTTATTGTTATCATTCTTTGTATGGGAGCTGTTTAAACTGTTTTTAAAATTGGAATATCGATGGACCCAAAAAGGTTAAAAATCCATGCATAAGTTGGTAATTTCAATAAAATTTCTTCCTATTCATTTCATTAATATAGGTATATAAATTAGTTTCTTGTTAATGATTTTAAATAAATTCAATTTGAATTTGAATTTTTTTCATAACATTTAAGTGAGGGATTTTATTGAACATAGGTGATTATGAGTAATTTTTTTTCTGAAAATAATGTGTAGTTATTACCTACCTACAGGGTACAAGGTATGAGATATGTATAGGATTTATTGGTTGCAATTGTAAATCAGTATGCTTAATCTTGATAGAACCCAACATAATATTTCTATTTAGTCTCTTTTTTTTTATTATTATTTAATGACATGCTTAATCTAAGTAAAATAAAATATAATTATTCATTGTTTAACCGAGGTGATCACTTAACATTTAATGAATCAATAGTGAGCCAATCATCCTTAATTTCTTCATTCAATTTTAGTAAGCCATTAAATTAAATAATTTTTTATGCTACATAAGTTAATTTACTAAATAAATTAACATTACATTTTTTCCAATAAATAAAATATATAGGTACCTACACGATAAATAGAAATATGAATAAATACCTAAGTAAAATTATAATTATTATGAAAATATTGTTGGTGCATTTTTAATTGTAAATATTTAACATACAATGTGCCTACACCTATATTAAACAATATTAAATGATGATTTTACTTTACTATGTAATACTTATATTTTATGTTAAATTTCAATAAAGGTATTATGTACCTATTGATAATATGAACATATTATTAAAATAGGTACCTATGTTCTCAATTTTATTAATTTATAAAAAAATATTTTTTATGTGATGATTTAAAAACATAATTTCTCAGCGTAAAATTCAAAAATGTACTTGAGTTGATCATAATATTAAGTCAATAATTTAAAACTAAGTTTATATGTAAAGTGCACGTGTGAATATTTCATTTGCAAAAGAATGGAAATCCACAAAATATTTGCTGCACTTAATTTGATGAAACTATTAACTTTGTATGAAACTATCGAGTCCCGATTAAATAAATTAACAAAATATAAGTCTGAAATAAATAACGGTGGATTTTAAAAAAATATCTTCAATCACATTAGATTATATCTTTTCGGAAAACCAGCATAATTTTCTAATAAAATCCGAACACATCCCCTACTGACTCCGGTCGCGTTGTGTATACAATATGTATATAATATATATAGTATATACGTATATATAATTCTACGTTTAGTAACAATAATAATAATATCCATTAATTTGCAAATTTACAGCGCCGCTGGTTGTTCCGCCTGCAGACCCCCGCCGCTACAGTGTCACGGCACTATACGATAGCGGTAGAGGAGGCGGCGGAGACGTTCTTCGCAAAAGTACCATTTGGCGTTGATTCCTCTGCCGTTTTTCCTCGGTTTCCGTTTAGCGGCCATAAATCGGCATGAAATATAAGTTCCTATTCGGAATCGCGCAATATAAACACGAGCCGTTAACACAAACGCGAGCGCGGGGACGATGACTATATACGCGTCTTCTCTCCCCCCATGCCTACCGCCCACCGTGCCACGGTGTGTGCCACCACTTCACAGGACTAAGGGGTTTTACTTAACAATTATCATAAATATAAACAGGCCCGAACTTCCCTCGGCGACAACTACTACCACCAACACCACTATTGCTACTCTGACTACTACGACAACTACGACGACGACCAAAGATGCGGTTTATCTTTTGAGGCCATTGTTGAGTTTATATGTATGTGTGTGTGTTTGAGTGGAGCGTAGGAAAAATGGAATAATAAATTGCCATTATCGCTCCCGATTGTTCCTTATATTATATTATGTGTAATTATGTATATAAGTCCACGGCCGCGGGTGTTTCTTCTTCGCGTCTCATCCTTTTCCTTTTCCTGTCGGCCGCCGCCGCCACCGTCATCGTGGTTGGGGTAAACCGCTAGCGGCAATGTCGTAGGGAAACGTCTTCGTCCGGCTGTTGAATTATCGTTTATTACAATCCTCTTCTTATTATTCGGCGGTATGGCGCGCCTTCCCTCTCGCACCTCCCGCGCTTGCTTGTCGTCATCCTCTCGACCAAAGAACAGACCTCATGCACGCAAAACGGCTCTATTAATGCTAATATACACCCCCGTGGAAGAAGCGGACTCAGTTCGCACAATGGTATTTCACGAAAACGTCGCTGCCCGCCCAACAACTGCAATTGTTCTTTGGATGCTCCTTTCTACCATCACCCACCCTTCTGTACTTCGTGACAATTCCGTATTTCCTACTCCGGCACACTAATATCGTTTATGTTTCAACATTTGCCGAGCTCGAGCGATTTTTAGCACAATGGTGGGTACACCATTATAATATTGTAATATTACAGAAAATTCTCGGTCGTAAAATGTAGACTCGAATTATTATAAATTATTAGTCATCACTGCAGTTAATCAGACATTTATTTAAATCATCTTTATTGTGTCTTTATTGTTTATTTAAACCATTGAACGGTACATATACCTAGTAGGTATAGCAGTATCTATACAATTCTTAGCCACTTCCATTAAAGTATTAGACCCTGTGGAACCTAAAAAAAAAATAATCAACCTAATCATTTTTTATTTTATGTAAATCATGAAATTGTAGTACTTACCTACTTTAGAAAAAATAAATTATTACCCTCAATATTTTTATTATTTATTTGTATTTTAGAAAACAGTGTATTATTTATAATTCATAAGTTACGTAGTTCGGTACTTATTTATTATAAAATATTATTTTTTATTTACCCATTTAAAGTGATGTCATTCTTAAAAAATTGTTATAAATCTACAGTAAATAGTTTTAAAAATATTTACAAACCACATTATTTTTGATTTTGGTCCGACTGAGTATTTTGTAGAAACTTATTAAATACTATATTATGAACAAATTAAAGTAAAATTCTAACTTTTAACTTAGAGTTATAAATGGTTAACTCATGTTGTTAATGAATTTTAAAAGTAAATGATTGCTTGGAAATTATTTTATAAAATCGTATTTAATATTTATACATGTATAATGTTTGTATAATTGTATATATATATAGAGTAACTATTTCCGTGTACCCATAATACTAATAATATTTACCATCATTACTCAAAATGTTCGTAGATATTATACTATATTATAATAAACTAGGCAGGTAGGTTTATTGGTATAGGCACTGCAAATAGTAAATTCAGCATTTAACAAAAATCAAAGAACATAATATCATAACTTTGTTGACTGGATTGAAAATAATATTATTCTGAATATCTATTATACGCGCATTCACGGATCATCATAGTTTTCAATCCATTTGGTCTACCGTACTAAAAACCAAAGTCTTTAAATTTACACGCTACATTAGTGTCGCGTATCCACTTTCTCCCTTCCCCTATACTTCCTTTTATTGTTATTTTAATCCTGAGTGCTATTTCGAAGACTGATGTTTATTATGCACATTTTTAGAATGTTGTGCTGTCGAACCCCGGAGTCTGTTTAATGAACGTTGAATTTAAAAAAAAAAATGAAAAGTGATGGTCGGAGATTAAATCGACTGCGAGTATTGAACATTTTTAAATAAAAATATAGGGCGTGTCCGGGATATTATATTACAATTCCGTATCAGAAAATAATCGTATTAGCTTAATTAAAAAAT